CCTGTGTAATTTATATGTATAATATAGAAAAAAAACATTCATTAACAATTTTGAAAAAATAATAATTTATCATTATTATGTTTACTAGCAAATAATCTACAAAAATTGTGACGAATTTTAAATTTATCACTCCGTGTCAATGTTTTTCTTTCCAGTATTTACTTAAAATTATACGTTAGATTTACGAGTTTTTTCCACTCTTAAATTAAATAACCATTAGAGACGGTAAAAAGGTATCATTATATTAAAATTAAACAGTTGTAAATTAGATAAATAACCTAAAGGTACTACTATATACGTACTGTATTTTTTACTCTTTGTTGAAAGCCCTTGGTAACCACGAAATATTGCATATTTTCACCTTCAAAATATGCAAAGCCATACGGATACTCGCGCGCCGCGATAAGGTTTAGTTTAGCTTGTTGTTTGTTTAATTGAACTTCAAACGGGTGCAACTTCTGTACGTTTTTTTAATATAGGATAAAGGTGACAAACGAGCACACAGTCCACCTGATGTTAATTGGTTGCTGTGGCCCATAAACATCTACATTTATCCTCAATTACGAATCAAAATGCAGATGCGTGGTCACCCGTGAGGACTAAGATGGAATGCCTCGTTTCCAGTAAAAAGGGTCTCTGGTTCTCTACAGTTACTCTACAGTAGCATTAAGCTGCTATTTTACGTTGGTATTCTGTGAGAGCGTGGTACTTCCCCGATCGAGCCGACCGATTCATGTTACAACCATAATATAGCGTCCCCCCCGAACGGGTTCCCGCCTCCCCCCCGAACGGGTTCCCGCCTTGTCGTGGCGGGGGGGCTTAGTAGCCGTGGCTTGGTCTCCCACGGTGAACAAAGAGGAACCCACGTGGCTGGCCCGAGGTGAAGGGCCGGCCTGAGGTGGCCACTCCGAGTGGGCTTGGGGAGCCCACTTCGGATGTGTGCTGGTGGACTACAGGGAGTGGGGACTCCGCACCCTCTAACGCTGCAGCCGAGGTGGAGTCGCGGAGGAAGAGGAGTGTTGGTATGGCGATGCGCCACTCGCTCTATCCTCCGCGACTCAAACGGGGCCGCACCGTTGATGCGGTGGTGATGGGACTGCGGGGGGAGAGGATTGTCGATATTGCGAGGCGCCGCTCTCCCTATTCTCCGTAGCCGAATCTTGGTTGGCGGCGGAGCCATAGACCAGATCCGCCGCTGGGGTCGGGAAGGCTAGTACTTCTAAGTGCTCGTTTTTCCTGGCCCAATGGCCTTCGCGCATCGGACGTGGGGGCGTCTGTTGCGCAGATGTAATTGGAGGCCGTGGAGGAAGGCGTGCCATGTGTTCTGGTGCGCCTTACTTGGGAAGGAGAACGGGGAGGAATATTCCTCTCCCGAGGAGGTGCTGCCATGGGGCGGCAGTCGCTGGTAGAGCCGCGGAAGTGTGCGAAAGCGTTCCCGTAGCCCTGCCAATATGCGACGAAGGTAGAACACCATGGGGTTTTAGTCGGTGCGAGTCCGACATAACCCGTCCTTGCCCCCGCGAGGCGGGTATGCGTAGGCATTTCCCCATGTTAAAAAAAAAAGGTGGCCTTACCACGTATAGAAATTCCCACACATCCTTGTTTTCAATACATTAATCTATTTTATAGGAGTTTTTTTTTTTACAAACTTTCTTAAAATTAGTGTTCATATGAGTTTGTTGCACCATAGTTTTAGGGATTTTATTGTAAATTTTTGTGGATTTACTCACAAATTACTTATTTTTATATGTTGTGATTGGTACCGCTTCTCTGATATTACATACTAGCTGACAAGGCTACCTCTGACATGTCTTCTCTTTAATAGTTGTTTTTTTATAGAATAAGGGTGACAAACGAGCACACAATCCACCTGATGGTAAGTGGATGCTATGGCCCATTAGACATCTAAATTTATCCTCTATTAAGAATCAAAACGTTGTCACCCCTGAGAACTAAGATGGAATGCCTCGTTTCCAGTAAGAAAAGGGTCTCCGGAGATCTACACTCACCATACGTAAACAAGACAAACGAGGAGAAATCTACCTGAATAGTATCATTGTTTAAACTATGCCAAGCCAATGCCTGGCTACTATTCTACCTGGTACCAGGACTTAACTTATCAAAAGCCTATTGATTCTTGTCTTGAAGACACCTACATTGTAATCAAATGGAATTTATGTATTAAAAAGCAGACGCGTTGTATACCATGAAAACTAAGAACTGGACGTACCTCGTCAACAGTGTAATGGGCTTACTTTTTCCTCATAATAAAAAACTCTAAAGAATTGTGATTTTCCAAGGGATAGGGTAATTTAAGATTACAAAATTATGATACACAAAACCGCATTACCATTGACTTATATATTACTAGCGTAAGGACTGGTCCGACCGAACAACTAAAACGGACCAGTGCGCTGGTCCTAAAATTACAGTTTAGGGCCAATACGACTCGGTCGACAGAGGTGCGCGCGCAAAACAGATTTGCCTGTCATAAATATATCTACTTTCGTGGTAAAAGGGTGCAAAATTTACGATACAAAGATTAAATAGGAACATGGAATATCGTATCATCGGTAAAATAACCTTATATTCATTTTGTTAATATTAAATTATTATATAAACGCGTTTTTTAAGTTTTATTTTACAGTTACTTTAGTTACGTTGCCAAGATTAGGCCAGGGTTGAATTCAGACCCTCAAAATATTGTACGTGGAAAATAAAATTAGGTACTGATACTATTTTTCAAAAATTATATCACGTTTGACGTTTCATGTTTCTTTTTTCCCATGTGCCGGGATTTTGGCGTCACGCGTCTAGTTTATCTATACGTTACGTTTTTGCCGGTTTTATTTTTTATTTCTGTTTCATTTTTGTCTAAAGAACTTAGTGTAAGTTAAATTTTGAATATTGGTACCTAATATATTTTATATTCAATAAGGGTAAAATGAAAAGAGTACAAAAGAAACCATATCTGCATAATTGAATCTGAAAATTTCATTTTCAAATTCTGTTTTCAAACCGATTGCTTAGAGCTTAGAGTTTTTATCGTGGTAGCCCCTCATTATAGTTGTATCAAGGATGCAACATAAATGCATCGATCGAGCACCGATTGACCAGAAACGGGGCTAATTCTAATTTTATTAAAAAACGCGGTACTCATGTACAGTACAGAAATTGTCAATATCTTAGGGTTAATATTAAAAAGTAAAAGGACCCAATAATAATACAAGTCGACCCTTAGGTAAAATTATAGTATTTTCGCTTAGTATTATTACGATACTACATACCAAGAACTATCAAATAATGGTACAATTAGGATAATAATTGTACTACGAAATCCGACCCTGGTTACGTCGTGTTATGATATGACGTATGTATTATGACAGATGCGTTACTTTTTCTTGTATAAAAAAGTTATGAGTAAAATATTTAGATGGGCCTATTCTTCATTTTGATATCATTGAGCATTACAGACATTTTACTTTGACAGTGACAGTGACAGAGCCTGAAATAATTCGTGCTGAATTACGTACGCTATAATGACTCTACTAACTTACTTTAAAAGTCAAGCTCACGACGCTTAAGGACTCTAAATCAAGAAGTCTAAATCAACCTATGAAATTTTTCGGACTACACTGCGATATAGTATACAGAATGATTTCTTATATTTACGCGAACACTACACATTGAAATAATACTCGTTTTTACGGAATTTATCGCGTATATTTAACTTTTTAAATACCCGACGTTTCGAACGCTTTACAGCACTTAGGCCTCTGCCTCGAATCTTGCGGGCAGCGGAGCGACGGCGACGGCGGCGCGGGAGCGGGGCGGGCAACGCAGACCCGTTCACGAAACTAGCGGGCAGGTCGCGCGACACTATAGCGGCGTAGTTGTGTATTCATGGTTGTGTTGTCGAGATATTTGTTTTTATTTGCGAACGAAATGTCTGAACAACGGCGACAACATCTTTTTGATTCAAATTTATTTCTAACGCTCGATTTACTGTGGGCAAAAGAAGAAGTGAATCCCTACTATATGGCAAGGAAAAGAAAAGGCGAGTTTTAACGAAATTACGAAGAACAGAGACACTGTCCCGACAAATTCTACGACTACACCAGAATGAGCGTAGAAACTTTTGACTATATTCTTGAAGCTATCAAGGGCGATTTAGAGTCTGTAATTAATCCAAAACGATATAGAGGTATATCTCCAGCAGAAAAATTATACTTGACGCTAGGGTAAGTAAAGCAACGAAATTGTAATTTGCAATTGTATTTATTGATAGTGTCAAAAAAAATTGTGGTGCACTAATTTAGTAAATAATTTGACAGCAGATGCAATCATTTTAATGAAATACCTACTAAAAACTAATCAGCTTTAATCATTTATTTATGACGAATACGTTTTTTAATATAAAATAGGTACGTTACGTATGAAATAAGTAACAAAACAGTTTGTTTTTGAAACACTTTCAAATATTGATGATTATAACTTTATAACCTTATAACTAAAATCGCAGTAACAGTCATTTATCTCTAAAATCACAGTTTTCATTTGTACGATGATTAGTTATTTCTACAATCACAGTTTTGTTATTATTTGAGAGTATTTTTATTATAAGGTTGATATACCTAGTGTTGAGTATTATACCCACACATATATGATTCATTAGAAGGGTACATTTCTTCATTTACACTTATCTCGTCTAGAAGAGCTTGATTAATTTTTTGTCTCACTCTATACTTTTGTACTGGCGTGAATTTTTCCATTTGTGGAAGCAAACTCATAAAAAAGTAGTAGTCGTCTGACTTATTCTCATGTCTAGAAGTCTCGTTTCTACTTTGATTTGATAAATCATTTTCCAACAGTCTTATCCTTTTCTTTTCCAATTCTAAAAATTCAGTCCTTATGTCATTCGCTGTTTTCTTTTTCCTTGACCGTTGTGAAGTAGAAGCTTCTCTTGAAGGTGTAGAAGCTTCTTGCGATGATGTAGATTCTTATGAAGATATAGAAGCTCCTTGTGAGGATGTAGAAGCTTGTTGTGGATGAATAGAAGCTTCTTCATCACGACCGGTTGTATTTTCTTGAGAATTTTCTACAGAGATGTCTTCTATCGCAATAGAATCTTTACTTATCTGATTACTTGTTTCAGTGCTGCTTAAATTACCCTCAGTAACATTTGGTAGAATTTCATCTCGCAAAAAACTCAATTGAGAAAAGTATTGCCAATTCGAGGATTGATTAACATATCCGGCATCTCCTGATCGAGGAGCAGGATTTTTTTTTAATTCCTTTCTATAGTGATCTTTTATATTTTTCCATTTTTTCTTTAAATCGGTCACTGAAACAAAAGAATGAACAGACTGTATATTACATAGATAACTTTAACATACCTATGCTTTAATTTTCAGGTTTTTGGCGAGTGGGCAGTCTTTCAAAAGACTGTCGTTATCATTCAGAATGGGAAAAACAACGGTGACCAACATAGTTTATAGCACGTGTAGAGCTATATGGAAAAATTTAGTGGATTTACATATGCCAAAACCGACAGAAGTATTATTGAAAAGAATATCTGAAAAATACTATGAAAAATGTCAATTTCCTAATTGCGTCGGAGCTATAGATGGCAAACATTGTCGAATAAAAAATCCTAACTTTGCTGGATCATCGCATTATAATTATAAACATTACTTTTCGATGCACTTACAAGCCGTCGCGGATGCTGACAAAAGATTCATTTGTATAGAAGTTGGAGGAAGAGGAAAACAAAGCGATGCAGGGACATTCCATTACTCTAATTTGAACCATTTACTTCAAAGTAATAACTTCAATATACCCCGTCCACAATATCTACCCGGATCAGATATTATACTACCAATGGTTTTAATTGGAGATGAAGGATATCCACTCAAAACCTATTTGATGCGACCTTATCCTCAAAGCGTACTTAATGCACAAAATGAATTATTTAATCAGCGGTTATCGCGGGCTAGGAAGACTATTGAGTGTGCTTTCGGAATTTTAAGATCCAAATGGCATATTTTCAGAACACCCATAGAGACAAACAAATGTCACGCAAGATTACTAATTAAAACTAGTTGTTTGTTGCATAACATTATCCGAGATAAGGACGGTGATAATGATATTGCCTATACTAATGTCAACATGAATCAAGAAATAATACAAATAAGATCACAAACAAACTCCCGAACGTCTTACCAAGCACAATATATACGTGAAAAATTCAAAGAATATTTTGTAGATAATCGCATTAGTTACTAGTAATTTTGTTGACATAATAAATCATTTTCATATTTACATTCAATATTCAGTTCGTTCTTAATTTCTTCCCAAAACTGGTTAATTACTCTTCTATTTTTATGGTTCACATCTTTGCTGTTCCATATCGGTGTTCTCTCAAAAATTGCTGAAATAATTTCCTCTTGCACGTCCGAGGACATTTCGAAACGTCACAAAAATTAATTGCACAACAATGCAATGCGGACGCGCGGGCGGTCACCGCTTGACTGGAGTACACCGCTCGTTACCCGCCCCCGCGCCGCTGCCAAGCCGCTGTTTTCGAGAGTCGGTCCATTTGATTTTACGCATAAGATCCTGCCGCTCCCGCGCCGCCGCCGCTGCCGTCCCGCTGCCCGCAAGATTCGAGGCAGAGGCCTTATGGTCACGGGCGGGACTGAGATGTTCAACGTCCATATGTCATAGTTAACCGCGGTTACCATAGATTAAAATTTAACTTTTGTTCCGATCTACACAGTATGAACTTATGGTATCATGGAGTCTTGCAGTTGTATGCTTGGGTTGGGATTTAATTTTATTTATTATAGGATCCCAAGCAGATGGTAGCACCCAGCCATCTTCTCTATTGAAATTAGGATGTTTTTTGATTTCAATAGCCTCGCGAATCATCCTTGGAAGGAATCGGTGTTCTTTAGCGAGGATTTGCGGTCTATCAAATCTGATGTAGTGACGGGGGCGATCCTGTACGTGTTCAAAGTCTGCAATCTGTGACCGTGACCGTGGCCCTAACAATTTGCAGCGGAGGTAGAACACCATGAGGTTTTAGTAAGTGCGATCTAGAGATTTAATTCTCTCTCAATTGCAGGCACGTAATAGTATGAGTACATATTTGTGCTATTTGCTGTAGAGACTATTGGTCCGTAGGGTGAATGTGCGGTGTAGTTCCTAAAAAACTGTATCTGCGACTGATCATCGCTGCTGGTAATAAGAAGTTGTTTAGTTTGTTGCTTCCTCACTTGAAGGCTAAGTATAGCCATTCAGAGAGGACACGTAGCCAGCATTCTTGGGACGATACCACGGAAAGTAGGACTGTATGATAATTTCAGTTATTTTTTTTTAATATTGTAATTTTAATTTAGAAAATGACGTTATAAATAACTGATAACTATGTAATTCAAAGTTTATATTTTTTTAATATTATCTTGCTAGCTCGTTCCCGGCGTATTGCTGTTGCAAAAGGAATAATTGTGGAAATATCGTTAAAAATGTGGAACAGTTATATTGTATAATTAGAAATGATAATACAATCATTGAAATAGAATGATATATAACTTTCTATAACTTTCAAATAAATAGTCAGTATAATAAACGCACGCCACCTAGTGTCAGTTAGTTGTACCATACGTATAACCTTCGCACGAGTGCAACCAATAAGTTGACTAAGTTTTACCGCAATCTGATGAACGGTATGGCATCGTAGAAAATACGAACAAACATAAATTTTTATATAGTAGAAAATATTTTACTGTCTATAGACAGACCTGTAGTTTGATTAGAATAAGCGTTATTATAGCAGCTGATTTGTTTCTCTTTATAATACTAGAACTAAATGAACGATTGAAAATAAATTACTTTAGAAACTATGTTTTTCATTTTTATTTTGTGTAGATAGTTTAATCTTAATAATTTTTAGTTGAATGATCTAAAGGCTACGATGGCTATCCGAGTACAGAACCAGAGTACAAAACTAATCCAACTGTAGAGATGTGTAAGACAGGGTGACGTAATATTTCTAAAATACTTTACCGCTGCATTGGAAGACGTCTTCAAGCTATTGGACTGGAAAGGATAAGGTATTAACGTCAATGGAGTGTACGTCACTCACCTTCGAGTTGTTGACATTATAGTCCTTATGGCATAATCGCTGGAGGACCTACACACTATGTTCAATGACCTCAATAGTGTCTCCCAACGGATAGGTCTTAAGATGAACATGGACAAAACAAAAGTCATGTGTAATGTCCATGTCACACCTATGCCGGTGGTTTTTGGAAGCACTTACCTGAAGTTGTTGACGAGTATTTTTACTCGGGACAAATATTCCAACTAGGTAAGTTCAACTTCGACCGACAGGTCAATCGACGGATTCAAATCGGCTGGGCAGCGTTCGGGAGATCACAACACAGCTTCTCGTCAGGAATACCTCAAAACTAGTTTGTACAACAAGTCGGTGTTGCCAGTGATGACTTATGGATCTGAGACAAGGTCTTTCACTGCTGGCCGTATGAGGAAGGTTGAAGTCGCTAAGCGAGCTATGAAGAGGGCTATGCTCATGGGTTCAAACTTAGGAAAAAGGATATCTGCAGCAGAACCAGAGTGACCTACATCGACCAATGGATTATTAAGCTGAAGTTGCAATTGACCCGCCATATAGCTCGAAGAACCGAATACCGATGGGGAAAAAAGGTTCTCGAGTGGCAGCCTCGTACCGGCAGGTGAAGTGTAGGGCGTTCCCCCACTAGATGGAGTCGAAACCTGGTAGGATATGCAGGAAGTTGATGGATACAGGTAGCTCAGGACCGTGCTTTGTGGCATTACTTGGGGGAGGCCTATGTTCAGCAGTGGACTTGTGAAGGGTTTTAATGATGATGAATGATAATTGCATTATATTAATGTGATACATAAATTAAATGAACGTTACGGGTAGAGTCCATCTATGCATAGAGTCCATTCTATTTATTTAGGTATAGGTAGGATATAGAATTTTTATCGATATAATTTGGTACACTGTCTTGTCCCTATTATTAGTTCCGTGGACGTGCACTTCTGCTGTCAGCGCCAAAATGGCGGAAATCAAATCGCTTCATCATGTCACGATGTATAGCCAGTCCAGCGTACTTGTATATGTAGAGGTCAGTGATACCTATGCTTAATTCTGACAGTAATATAAACTAAGTGCACATTCAATAATAGTTAAACACCGCATGCTTAGTGTTCACAACATTTCCTAGAAGTAATTACCAAATAGCTAAAAATATATTAATACATTTTCTGCGGAAAAACGTTAAAGTTTTGGTGAATATCTACATTATTATAAGCATTTAAAAGTCTGCAAAGTCTGGATATTGGGGAATTAAATCCTAGTACATTTATATGAAGGGGCTGTGAAAAAGGAGTAATTCATTGACGAGGATATCTACTTGGGATACAAAAAAGTAAATTTACCTACTAATAAAGGGCAATCTAAGTTATTTCTGAATATTTTATATAATAGTTGCAAATACAGAATGTCCCGGCGTCTTGACAGTGAGACTATGTTAAATGTCTTTAATATGTCTACAAATGATGCATTTTTATATGCTTTTCGTGTTATGTTACTAGTGCGATCATATCGACTCTGGGGTCATTGACCGTCAGACCAGTATGGTAAAATAAAATATAACGTATATATACGTCGCACTGGGCACAAGACTTCTCTCGTTTCTCTCTACAAGAGTCACAGAGCAGTTAGTTCGGTGTTGTTGGCGGAATTTCATTGATGCTGTCCCAAAATTTTAAGGTCATCGCAATACTGTTATCTATTACGGCTATTAACAAAGCTTAACTAATGACCAACCACGTTCGAAGACTCCGAGGTACAGTGGCTTAGCAAAGAGTTACAACGGTGAGGGCTGCAGTTTCGAATTCCGTACGGAACAAGTATTTGTATGGCCTTCAAATAATTGTTTCGGGTCTGGATGATTGTCCTTGTTCAATTTATGTTTGTAAACTGCCCCCACGACACAGGAGAAAATCCTAGTGTAGGGGTAACGTTTAAAAAAAAAGATAAGAAAGTTAAAAAGAAATAACTGTGATTAATCCGTTGCAAGCGTTCGCCCAACAGCCGTTTCAGTGATGTACGACTGAAGCATTCCCTTACAAATTACTCGTAATCGGACGAGTTCGGAGCAGATGTCGTTTTAACCGTTATGGAATTCTGGCATCTTACCTTTGGCAAGGAATCGTCGCAACGGTACGCGTTTATTTTATACAAGTAAGGGAGACAAACGAGCACTTAGTCCACCTGATAAGTAGATATAGTCA